TCTCACATGTAGGTCCTCAATCCATTTTAAGTTTATTTTTGTGTATGGTGAAAGAAAGTGGTGCAGTTTCAGTCTTTTCTATGTTGCTGTCCAGTTTTCCCAACACCATTTGTTGAAGAGATGTTTTCCAATTGCGTCTTCTGCCTCCTTGTTTGAAGATTAGTCAACCATGTAATTGTGGCCTTATCTGAGCTTTTTCTCTGGTCCATTGATCTATGTGTCGATTTTTTTAAAATTTTTTTAACGTTTATTTATTTTTGAGACAGAGAGAGACAGAGCATGAACGGGGAAGGGTCAGAGAGAGGGAGACACAGAATCCGAAACAGGCTCCAGGCTCTGACCTGTCAGCACAGAGCCCGACGCGGGGCTCGAACTCACGGACTGCGAGATCATGACCTGAGCCGAAGTCAGCTGCTTAACCGACTGAGCCACCCAGGCGCCCCTATGTGTCTATTTTTGTGCCAGTATCATACTTGTTTGATAACCGGAGCTTTGTAATATAACTTCACATCTGGAATTGTGCTATCTCTAGGTTTGTTTTTCATTCTCAAGATTGCTTTGGCTCTTCAGTGCCTTCTGTGGTTCCATACAAATTTTAGGATTGTTTGTTCTAATTCTGTGAAAATTGCCATTGGTATTTTGCTAGGAATTGCATCAAATCTGTGATTGCTTTGGGGAGTATGGATATTTGAACAATATTGGTTCTTCCAATCCATAAGCATGGAATGTTTTTTTTCCATTTCTTTGTGTCATCTTCAATTTCTTCCATCAATGTTTCATAGTTTTCAGAATATGGGTCTTTCACCTCCTTAGTTAATTTTATTTCTAGATACTCTATTCTTTTTGATGCAGCTTTAAATGGGATTATTTTCTTAATTTCTCTTCGTGCTGCTTCATTATTAGCGAGTAGAAACACAATAAATTTTTTACATTGATTTTGTATCCTGTGACCTTATTGAATTCATTTATCAATTCTAGTAGTCTTTGGGTGGAGTCTTTAGGGTTTGCTATATAAAGTATCACATCATCTGCAAATAGTCTGGGTTTTACTTCTTCCTTACCCATTTGGATGCCTTTTATTTCTTCTTCTTGACTGATTCCTGTTGGAAAGTTTTTTGTTTGTTTGTTTTACTTTCTTAATACAAAGGCAATATACATTTTTTCTAGATAAGTTGAAATATATAAATTATTCAAACTGAAGAAAATTTAAAATACCAAAGTTTAATACAGAATGTTCCACATTCTCACATTGACAATGGAATCAATATTAAAAGGGAACACGTAATCGGCAAGAAACAAAAAGCCAGAGAAGCTGCTTCTGGTCCCCTCTCTAAATATACAACACCCACTTCTGTCTGCATGCCTGTCTGGGCCTTTTGGGGCCCAGAAGTTGAGCTAAATTACAGCTGGTACAAAGAGGTCTGGGAGTCACTCATGAGATGAGCCTCCAAGGTTCACTAAAGCATTACCAGAAATGTGATGATATTTTAAACATTTTATTTATTGAATCTTCTCTTGGGGAGAGTGATTGGAAGACAATACTTTGATTAGCTACTTGGGGAGGGGTGTAAAGTCTCCAAAGGGCCCTCTTGAGTAGCCAGATGGTCACTATCCTTCTAAAAGTGGTAGGTTAGCTGCACAGTTTTGGTTTGCTCCCTGGCGGATGGAGGTTTGGGGCAAGAGCCAGATTGCTGAGCCCCACTGTCAGAGATCCTACTTCTCTGCTGTGTCTCAGAGCACCCAGACTTTCTGATAAATAATCAGATAAAGAATATTGATCCAGAGGGATACCATATTATTAGCCCATCCAAGGTACCTGTCTCAGCAGCTCTCAGTTATATATTTTTCTGAGATCTTGCTGAGATACAGGGACGGATACCAGATGTCTCCTCCAACCTCAAGCCAGGTGTTGAGAGCAGCTTCTTTCTTTCTTGGCAAACGGGTCAGTCATGTCATTAGCTGCCATTGTCAACATAGAAACATAGACAGTTGTTTAAAACTGAGCAATATTGGGACGCGTGGGTGGCTCAGTCAGTTAAGCAGCCGACTTCGGCTCAGGTCATGATCTCGCGGTCCGTGAGTTCGAGCCCCGCGTCGGGCTCTGTGCTGACAGCTCAGAGCCTGGAGCCTGTTTCGGATTCTGTGTCTCCCTCTCTCTGACTCTCCCCTGTTCATGTTCTGTCTCTCCCTGTCTTAAAAATAAATAAAACGTTAAAAAAATTAAAAAAAAAAACTGAGTGATACTGATTGGCTCTGATGAAGTTAGAGGAGTTATATTTGTATTTTATGTCTATATAATCTATTAAATACCTATGTAGTACTTTTTATGTGCCAAGGATATTTCCAAGCTCTTTTTTTTTGTATCCTGAATTTCACCACATCTAAGACAATGCTGATTATAAGATGCACCATTATTTTACATACCACTGAGACAATTAAACTATCCCACACTATGAATTGTAAAATGCATCTCAACTCTGGAGATGTTACATGTGAAAAGTGTGTGTCTTAGACTCAATGAAACATGGCATATTAACGCATTTACCACTTAACACTAGGAGGTTGGGGCTATCATTATCCTCATTTATACACGAGAAAATTGAGGCACAGAGAAGTTCAACAATTTGCCCAAGATCACAAAGCCAGTAAGAGGATCCAGCATTTGAACTCAGACAGTCTAACTCCAGCGTGCAAGCTCATAACCACGACACTCTTCTCCCTATAGATAGGGAAAGCCAAAAAAAGTTTCAGAAACATTTATCTTCATTTTTATTTCTTTATTTTTTATGGAGGTTTATCAGAAAAATTATTTGAAATATTTCTCCACACGAGGGATTCCAAGTTATTCCTGCCTGAAGTAATCCTCTAACATCTGGACAAATATCCAGAGGCAGCTGAACGATCCAGAAGTGCCCAGCGGCTCTGTGGGCCAGGTGCATTTTTTTAGTGCAGGCTAACGGGCAGGGCGTGTGTGCACACACGGATGCTGCTTCTATGAGAACAGAAGTTGTCTAGTTATTACTTTTAGACATCATCCAAAGTTTAGCTTTGCTAGAAACAAGACAGCTCTGCCCCAAGTTTAGGTGAACATGACTCAGCCTCCCGTTGGCATGGGTGTCCACAGCCCGGTTGACTCAGATGCCTTCTGCCACTCACCGGAGTAGCGAGCCCGGCATGCTTTCTTAGAGTTAGTCATTATTAGGAAAATAAACCGGGCATTCTAACCTTCATGATTTGTCAATTTTGTACAAGTGCTAGATGATCCACAGACAGGAGTGCCAAAAAGTTGGCTGGAAATGAATTATTCTGGTGTGCGAGCCATTGTTTCAACGTGCCTCATCATCGAGTATGGTTTTCCACTGTACTCATTGTCTTTCCAGAGCTTCTCCTCCCGATTAGCCTTCTCTGCCCTTAGAGCATGTAATGCTTCGCCTAAAGAACACGTCTCCCACTGTATTATAATTACTTGTCTTTCTTCCCTGCCTATTTTAAGTTCTGTGGTGCAAAGGTCTGCGTCAGTCTTGCATTGGGATGAAGTCCATGTTACAGAAAGTTCCCAGCATTGCCTTCCCTGGTCTGAGGCAGAGCAGGTGTCTGGGATCCATTACCTTCTGCTTTCCATCCTGACTACCCGTGTAGCACTTCAAGGTGGTAGATGTTTTAAAAACATTTGAAAATGGGGGCGCCTGGGTGGCGCAGTCGGTTAAGCGTCCGACTTCAGCCAGGTCACGATCTCGCGGTCCGTGAGTTCAAGCCCCGCGTCAGGCTCTGGGCTGATGGCTCAGAGCCTGGAGCCTGTTTCCGATTCTGTGTCTCCCTCTCTCTCTGCCCCTCCCCCGTTCATGCTCTGTCTCTCTCTGTCCCAAAAAAATAAACGTTGAAAAAAAAATTAAAAAAAAAAAACATTTGAAAATGAATGAATGAACTAGAGCAATGAGAATCCAAATAAAGTTTCATGACAGAAGGTTTTTTTTTTCCTTTCATTCATTCATTCACTGATTGTATTAAATCATCACCCTACAACAGGCACTAGGTGTGTTTCTTTTCTAGTATTTTATTTTACTTTTGAGAGAGAGTACGTGCACGTGTGCACACACAAGCAGGAGAGGGGCAGAGCGAGAGGGAGACAGAGGATCCAAAGCAGGCCCTGTGCTGCCGGCAGAGAGCCCAACAACGCCAGGCTTGATTGAACTCGCCAACCATGAAGTCATGACCTGAGCCAAAGTCAGACGCTTAACTGAGCCACCCAGGGGCCCCGCACTATGTGTGTTTCTAAGGGGGGGAGATAGCAATTACATACAGGGGAAATACTGGGCTTACCAGGCACAATCAGATGGGGCCCTTAACCTCATGTAGGGCAGCAGCAGGGAGAGCAAGCTTGTTCATATTTGTGGAATGTTTAGCCAGATCACAGTGGATGGGGTGGGGAGCGTTGGTAAATAAAAGGCGTGAAGGAACTGGAATGCGTGAGGTGTGAGTGGTGAGAATTCCAGGCCAACAGAAGTAGTTTATGATGCAAAGGCTCAGGGACAAAAGGCTCCTCATTGTCATTCGAGGAACTGCAAAGAACACCGCATAGCGCTTAGGGGTCACTGCGAGACTAGAGCTGAGGGAGCACAGGGGCCAGATCTCAGTGGTCATCGGGTCCAGCAGGGAAAGGAGTCAGGCTGCATCCTCAGGCAAGTGGAGAGCAACTAAACAGCTGTCTGAGTTGAGTGACATCATCAGATTTATTTTAGGAAGTCACTCCAGATGGAGAATGGATCAGAGGGGATGAAGGGATCAAAGTTGGGTGTGCAACTAGGCTAACTTGGTCTAAGGTGGTGATGTGGGGGTGAATTGTCATCAGAGCATGGAGATGGGGGCAGGGGTGTGGAGAAGTGTCTAGTCTGGCTCCTATTTTCAAATTGGGAAAAAAACAACCAGATGGCAGAAGTGTAGGTAGCATGCCATTTTATTCCACATCAGCCATCAATTTTCCTCTTCAAGTTTTTGCTGAAGGCTATCAACTGAAGCCCCACTGATGTGGGGATGGGTGCAGAAGTCTAAGAGGATCTGATGTGAAGTCTCCTACCCTGGGAGAAGAGAGTCAGCGGAAAGAAGGACCAGAGGCGATCCAAACGGGGAGACAGCAGTGACCAGCGGATGCTCCTGACAATGGCCATGCCCTGGAATGAGCAGTCAGCAAAAACCTCAGTTAGATCAAGCCACTTCCACCCTGTAGTATGTTCCAGAATCTTGGGGTCAGGATATGTGTCATTTACAAAAGTAAGCACAATATTATAATTTTATCTTTGGAGGGCAAGCAAGCAAATTGGGAGCAGCCAGTTTCTCAAAGTTCCATATTCCGTTTTTAATTATTCCTTTACTAACACGCTTCTTTGATTAATGAGCAGGCTCCCTGCCGCAGGGACCCCGTTCTTGCTTACCCTTGGGCCCAACCTAGGTTGGCGTGTACGCACTCAGTGCGATGAATGAAGCAATGAATCAAAGAAACCCATCAACCAACGATGTCGGTTGGTGTCCTTTCTAGGCTTTGGTTTTGTTTCTAAGCCTTGCATCAAGTAAACCACAGCAGGGCTGCACTGTCTGCCTAGGTTAGGAACTTGCTATAACAGGATTTCTCAGTTTGAGTCTCGGGGCTTCTGATCCGCTAAAATGACATCAAAGTTTTACAGGTGCGCGGGCGGTTGGGCCTTCCGCTTTGCCGCAAGCATCTCACGCCGCGTCTCTGCATCGCCGGAGGCTCCCGGAGCGCGCCGGCTCCGGAGGCTTCTCGGCGCCCCGCCCAGGGGACCGTCACTTCCCAGCCCCCTCGGATCGGGCCGACCCGACGCTGCTCTCCCACCCGTGGGGCGCGTCCCCGCGGCCCGCAGAGGCGAGGCGGTGCGGCGGCAGGCCGGGGAGCGAGCCGGGGACGCCGCCGCACCCCCGGAGTCCCGGCCCCCCGGGCCTCCGCGGCCATCTTCCG